AACTCTGACCTAATGACCTATTTACCCTTAACCATGAATATCAAAGTTGTTCATAATGGTGCTCTAGACATGTTTAAGCTAATTGCAAGGTCACACACTCATTTCATGCATTGGTCACACATAGGGCTATCCAGTTCAACACACATAGCATCACTTAAGTACTGGATTAGACAAAATGATCTTCATGAACATTGTTCCACTAGTCATCATAAGTGTAGCTAATATGTTTTAGTGACTCACATCAACTACTTACACCTATTCACTCATGGTCATAAGCATACACAAAGAAAACATGAAATAACAAGACATGTTTCATATATTTCATTCATATGTTTCAAATATAAAAGAGTAAATATGAATGCTTGATGCTCATGCTTATGCAATGCAAGTCAATTTATGTAAGGCTAACACCTAGGGTGTTACATGTTAGCACTCCACTAGATCCTAAATGCATATGCAATGAGTTAGAGCATCTAGTGGCACTTTGATAACCGTATTCCGATATGAGTTTCACCCCTCTTAATAGTACGGCTATCAAACCTAAATGTGATCACACTCTCTAAGTGTCTTTATCACCAAAACAAAATAGCTCCTACAAAATATACCTTTGCCTTGAGCTTTTTGTTTTTCTCTTTCTTCTTTCCAAGTCGAAGCACTTGATCATCACCATGCCATCATTATCATCATGCTATGATCTTCTTTTACTTCGCCACTTGGAGTGTGCTACCTATCTCATGATCACTTGATAAACTAGGTTAACACTTAGGGTTTCATCAATTCACCAAAACCAAACTAGAGCTTTCAAACCTATCCACCACCGTCAAGATGACGGACTTGCCACGGACGCGCGGCAATGCCTCCCAATCGGCAATGCCTCCCGAACACCAGTCGGCGTGATGTCCGTCCGATTTACACCACGCAGGGTACTAGCGAAAGTAGCATCCTGCGGAGGCGGGGTGGAGGTGCTGCACTGATTTATACCTCGACATGTCACGACGTTCATGAAAGCGAGGTCCTGCACGTGTCAGACAAAGCGTCCGCCACCACGTTCGCATGTTAGGAAAATGAAAGTCGCGATCGGAGGCGATGTATCCGTCTGGAATCGCGGACCCCTTCATGCCCATCCTGCGCAATCGCCACCATGATCTCTTGGACGAACGGGGACGCCGGGGAATGTAGAGGTGGCGTTACAACCGAAATAGACCATCACAGCAACGTTATTACAAAACAAGTCTTGTAAAACATGCGGAAGCGTTCATCGAGCGCCGCATTCAGATATGAGAATAGAGATCATGCCCATGAGTCTTCATCACCCGTCGCAGACTACTCGTCCTATATGGCGGTCATCGCAACGAGGGAATAAACCGAGTGGGAATGTACGGTGTCCTGCGCTTGATGGAGGCGACACTGACGTAAGATCAAATCGCTCAGGACTAGCGGTGAAAGAGATGGCAAAATGACCCCATATCGTATTCATTGGCAACCTTATCATCATCATCCATTTAACCATATCGTTAGACAAGGTGTCCGCAAGTTCTCACTATCCGGAGAGACGCGGCATTCAATCGCTCACAAACCCCGCTTCTCCGCCGCAAACAAGTCACCTTTGGTTTCAGAGTCGCGTAAGTCGAAGCTTGGAACAAACTTCCCCACACCCTACCTCCCATGTCGAACGACTTATCCGCCCCCTAAGTGTTGAGGAAGTCCAACATGACATGAGGGCGTCGAAGGTCTTTGGGAATTGTTAATGCGAGCGGTCCTTAAACGACTCGATCCAACAAACCTACACAAGACCCGCCTCGTTTAATTCCACGATAGCAAATATAGCCAACCGTGACCCACCTCATCCTAAAGCTCGCAGTGAAATGATCCATCTTAACAAGGAATCGGTGGCCCCAGAGGTACGGTTGGCTCGCTAGTGCCATATGGCATGAATGCAAGATAAATATCATGGATGCAAGGCCGATGAGCTCTCGCTCATAGGCGGTGAGGGACCGATGGCGTGGCGCGCATTGTATTTCGGTTGAAGAACGCAATTGGAGTGCGACGTCAATCTGGATGAGCACTACGCGACACTTTACCAGCTCAATTCATAAATCAAGCTCATGTCCTCACAAGGCAGAGAGTAAGCAAAACAGTCGCCTATTCAGCAGTTTCGAAACCACTGTCCTTGGTGAAGTCCTAGATACATAAGTTATCTACAACTTTTGTATTCAACACAAGCGCATTATCATGGGGAACTTTCAGATCGGGGGACCAACAAATAATTGAGGTGACCAACTTTACGCATTACATATCACGCACCAGAAAGCAGGATGGCATCACCAAAACATTTCTTTTAATACGGTTCTTAATTTATTTAATTAATTAGGGAAATAGAGAACCCTTCCTTCTTGAGGACATGCTCTAAATAGACGGTCGATGGCATGGCCCTATAAATAGTACCATAAAAATTCCACACCATTTGACGGAGCCAAAATTATGGGTACGAATTTGCGATAAATTTCATAGTAATGGATTCCCTAAAATTCCAAGCCGAGGAAACCACTTAAAAACTACACATGCAATGCTCTCAAATTTTGAGCTTCTACCAAGCAATACTAGCTTACCCACAAAATTTCATGGATCACAGGCAAGTTTGCTGCACACACTTTTTAAGTTCGGATCCATGGCGTGCTCAAGATATATTTTTCTTAAATACTAGACCTAACTGTGAGATGACGTGATCGAGATCACAAATCGGCATTCAAAACTGTGAAATAGGCGACACAAGGCGCGCCACCGCTGAGCCAAGAACAGAGAGGAGATGCCGTCTTCCTCCCGGAAATCAAGGACACCGCGTGACCTGAGTCTTTGGGGGTTCGATTGGTGCTACTAGCTAGGACGACCTAGCGACGGCGCGAGGCGGCACGGCAAGGCTTCGAAGGTGGTCGGCCCATGTCTTGTCAGTATATCAAAATATCATCAAAGAAGACAAGGACAAACTGACGGAGGAAGGGATGCAAGACGTCGTTCATGAGCACCTGGAATGTCGTTGGGGCATTGCACAGCCCGAACGGCATCACCAAACGGCGTCTAGCTGCGGGTGGAGAACACCGGCGTTTCATCCAGCGGCTTGTGGCCATCCAGCGCGAGGAAGGAGAAGTAGGGCCTAGGGCACGTCGGTCGGCCGTGCGGCACGACAGGAACCGAAGTTTGGAATCACCCCAGAGCGGGCGCCTGAATTTTTTCGTTTCATTAACCCACGAGCCGAATGACAGCCGAAACTGGTACTCCTCCACGCATCGGTTCGGTGGCAAGCCGCCAACTTCGCTAAGGGGGAGCTGGATCGGAGGAGGCCCAAAGTGCGGTGGGAGGAGCTCCGTGAATCCACCTTCAAAGCTGACGCCTTTTTGGAAGGAGTACCCTTGTCCACATGCCTTACAACTTTGACTTGGTAGTTCCACAAACATCCTAGCAAACCGTCCTCAAGGTTGTATGACGCCATCCTAAGTGTAACTTTCTCCTCCTCCATGATTGGTCACACAAGTTGATGAAAATAAGATTCACATCGATTGATAAAGATCGGGGATCCAACTTGCCATCGTGAGCGCAGAAGCCATCGTTCACAAAGAGATGCATGATGCTCATGCGAGACAAACCACCCGGCGTGGACAAGGCCGATGAGCTCCCGCATAGACGCGATGGCGTGGCGCCGCCCGTATGCGCGCAATTGCGGATGGCTGGGCGTTGGCCTCCATGGACGTCTAGAGGGTCCGGATGGACGCGACCAGAGAGTCCAATGTCGCCTGCAAGGCAGCGTTGGCGGCGTGGTTGACGGTGTTGTCGCCCATGGCGTCGACACGAGGGAACGACGGCGGAGGATGGCCTGCGACACGGTGTTGGCAAAGAGGCACGAGATGAACTGGATCGCCTAGACCGTGATACCAGGTTGTCAAGGGCATCGAGGGGTAGGGTAGGCGCACCCCGGCTACGTAGTTCATAGCCGTGATCCGTGTTGGGGCAAGGTTTTACCCCTCAGCGCCCGTTCTGTTGAGAGGGTAAGAAGGAGAAGTAATTGTTCTTGCTTGATCCCAAATGTTGGATTACAAGGACTCTTATAGGCCATAGCCTTAACCGACTCTAACAAATCACTCCTAAATTAAAGGCCCCCTTGATTGGCTTTCCTTTATTCTAGCCACTTCCTAAACCGAGAGTCCCCTAAAAGCGTTGTGCCACCCATCGCCACCGACGAGACGGTGACCGTGGCCATTGCTGAACCGTTGTTGTCAAGCGCCTGGCATCCCGGGCCCTTCTATTCCTGGCATATGTGCGTCCCCACATGACATATCCTTTTTCCACTCAACTTCTAGTGTCGACCCGATGCTGCTGGAGATGCTGTTGAAAAGTTTGATTTTTTTTGAAGTTAGTCATCAGTTTGCTGTCCATACGTTAATTTGTGCCCCCACTTAATATTAATTGCTCATTGTTCATTAATACAATTTTTTCTCTCAATTTGTGCCTGAGCTGATGTTGCCGGATTTTGTCCTTTGTCGTCGTATAATTGCCGTGTTGTTACCGGGTTGCGCGCTTTGTAGAAGTTTTGATTTCATCTACCTGTGTATTTACATCCAATAATTTTGGTAGCCCAATTAGACTTACAATTTTTTCTTACCAATTTTATCTAGTACATTTGACATGATTTATTTTGTTTACTCTAGACCGCTAGGTCATCATAAATCCAATTGTACATGTTCTTTTTCTTTTTTCTGATTAAATAATTTTTAGGTCCTCTTAGCTTGTTTATTCTAGAACGTTAGATAATCATAAAATCAAAAAGTGCATATTCTTTTTTCCCTGATTAATTTTGTACTTTCTAGAACCTTTTGAAGAATGTGAGGGCTTTTTTCTAAACACTGATATAATTGATTACTATTAGCGTGGTCTCCCCTTATAGCTGGCAACATTTGCATTATTTGTGTGTCTGATGCTTCATCCATTTTTGTTTTGTTTGTACAGAGATGGCAGAATCAATGGTCATGGTGGAGACCCCTCATAATGACTTCATCACAGATCAACGTCCAGAGAGGCACATTCGTCTCAGGAGTTTCACCTATGATGAGATCTATGCAGCGACACATGGCTTCGAAGTAGACCGTTTCCTAGGACAGGGTGGGTTCGGCCAAGTGTACAAGGGCTTTCTTGATAGCACCAATCAGGTTGGTTCACATGCCTCTGCTCAATGATGGTTGTAGATATGTTTATAATTCTTTGTTGCTATTTCGTTGCTCAAAAAGACTAGATTGATCTTGATGAGTATAACTGAAGATTGAAATGGTGACTGGTGCGTGCAAGAAAAGATTGCTATGTTTTTTTATAGCTGAATGTTGATCAATGTATATGGTCAATCGATGATACTTATTACTAGTGCGTTAGTCGAATGAACTAAAGTGATCTTAAGTATGGTCAGAGTAGCACCTACAAGAAAGGATATGTGTACTTTCTTTCTTTATGTATCTGAATGCTGATGAATGGTATCGTTAATTTATCATGAAAAAGGATGGGTAAGATATATTTGTTGGCTTTCATTTCTTGTATGATATTCTAATTCTCGAAAGGTGCCTGGACAGGAGGTGGCTATAAAGAGGCTTGATCTTCAGGGACAACAAGGGCATAGGGAATTCGTCACTGAAGTTCTGATCTTGAGCAATGTGCACCACCCAAATCTTGTAAAGCTCGTTGGATATTGCACTAGTCATGGTCAGAGGATTTTAGTTTATGAGTATATGCCTTTGGGTTCTCTGAACAGTCACATCCATGGTATGTTGCAAACCTAACATATATATATCGTTCTCTTTTAGCTATATATTAGAAGAATTTAGTGTAATCAGAGTTGGTCCTTGCTTTGTCTAGATCTCCCCCCTGGTTAGTAGCCTCTTGACTAGAGTACAAGAATTAAGACACTCCTTGGTGCTGCTAAAGGTCTTGAGCATTTGCATCACAATCTCACCCCTCCTGTCATCAATCGTGATGTGAAATGTGCAAACATTTTGCTCGGAGCGGGATACCACCCGAGTGTTAGAATAATGTACTGCTTCCTTATGTGAACACACAGCAAGGGGAAGGCGGCGCCGAAAAGGCTCCCTGTTGTGATATTGTAGCCGCTGCAGGTGTAGGCGACGAACGGCTCACCTACAGCACTGTAGCCACATGCAGAGGCCGGCGCAGAGTCAGTCCTACTGTGTTTTCTAGTTACTGTTGCAGCATGTGCGTTGTACTAGGACTAGATGGATAGAGTTATATAAATAGACATACACGGCAACTCAGTAAAGAGAGTTCAGATTTGCCATCTCCCATACAGGGCTTCGGCCAACGCTGGTGTCTTGTACTGTGTGTGTATATGCTCTGTTTTCCCTCTTCTTCAACCTCTAGCCATAGTGTGTGGGGACAGACAATGCTTGTTTGTGGCCGGCTTAGCTAGTGGGTGCTCGGCAACACTAGTGGGTGCTCGGTAAGACTAGTGAGTGGTTCACTCACCAGAGCTCGGCAACACTAAGGAGGCATAGGAGGCTATTGCGGCGATGTGCGTCGGTTCTGACCGCGCAAAGAAGGCGATGGCCCAGCTTCTAAAGCATGAGTACGCCAACCTCAAGTTCAAGGATGGTGAAACGGTGGAGGACTTCTCCCTCTGCCTGCAGATGCTCATCAGCAATCTGAAGAGCCATGGTGTCACCATCGACGAAGAAGAGGCGGTCTCCAAGTAACTCCACTCCGTGCCGGTAAAGTACATCCAGATCGCTCTCTCTATAGAGATGATGCTAGACTTGTCCACCCTCACCATTGAGGATGTGACAGGCCGTCTGCGAGCGGTGGACGAGCACCTAGAGCAGGCGACAGCAACGAAGGACAGCGGCAAACTGCTGCTGACGGAAGAGGTGTGGGCTACTCGGAGGAACTTTGGGAAGGCAACCTCCTCCAGCCGTGATGGCGATGGCAAGCGCCGCGATAAGGCTTCTTCGGAGAAGAAGAAGCTGGTCGACCCCAACGCCTGTTGGCGCTGTGGGAAGATGGGCCATTGGGCACGGGAGTGCCCAAATAGCAAGCAGGAGAAGAAGGCTGAGGTTCATCTGGTGCAAGCTGATGATGAAGATGAGGCCACTATCCTAATGGCGACATTCTGTGCACTGCACGACGTCAAGGCCGAGGAGAGGGAAGAGACGACGACGGTGGAAGGACCTAGGAAGGCCCTGAAGGCTGTCAACCTCGATGAACCACACGCCCAAGTCCACCTTGGACGTGTGGGCGCCTACCAGGAGCAACGATGGTATCTGGACTCTGGTGCCAACAACCACATGACGGGCTCCAAGGCATCCTTCTCTGAGCTCGACGACGATGTTATCGGTACGGTGAAGTTTGGTGATGGCTCAAAGGTGGCAATCCAAGGGCGCGGCACCATAATCTTTAGGTGCCAGAACAGGGAGCACCGCGCGCTAACGGATGTATATTACATCCCGTAGCTGCGTTCCAGCATCATCAGCATTGGTCAGCTAGATGAGCGCGGTAGCGAGGTACTGATCAAGGACGGAGTCCTTAGGATCAGGGATCGGGAGCAGCGACTTCTCGCCAAGGTGAAGAGGTCCCTGAACTGATTGTACCTGCTCGACCTGAAGGTAGAGTAGCCGGTGTGCCTAGCGGCAAGGCACTTCGAGGAACCATGGATATGACATGCCCGGTTCGGACATCTCAGCTTCGATGCTCTTGGTCGGCTGGAGAAGATGGTCCGAGGGCTATCCCACATCAAGCACGGAGGCGAGCTGTGTGACAACTGCCTAGTCGAGATGCAGAGGAGGCTACAATTCCCAAAGGCGGCCAAGTATCGCACGAAGGACGCGTTCGAGCTCATCCTCGGCGACCTCTACGGGCCGATCACGCTAGCTACAAATGGTGGTCGGTGATACTTCATCCTGCTCATGGATGATTGCAGTTGCTACATGTGGCTACAACTCCTGACGAGCAAGGACGAAGCGGCAGCGATGATCACGAAGTTCAAGATGCGCGCGGAGGCCGAGAGCGGCAAGAAGCTCCGCGTGCTGAGGACTGATCGCGGCAGCGAATTCACTTTGGTGGAGTTCGCTGCGTACTACACGGATCAGGGTATGGTGTGACACCACACCGCGCCGTACTCGCCACAACAGAATGGCGTGGTGGAGAGACGGAACCAGACGGTGGTCGGCATGGCCCAATCCATGATGAAGGCCAAAGGCATGCCGACAAGGTTCTGCGGGGAGGCGGTGACCACGGCGGTGTTCATCCTCAACAGCTCTCTGACCAAGGCCCTGACAGACAAGACGCCATTCAAAGCTTGGTATGGGCGCAAGCCGAGCGTGTCCTTCCTCCGGACATTCGGCTACATCGGCCACATTAGGAATACGAAGCCAAACCTTACCAAGCTGGAGGACAGGAGCACACCCATGGTGTTCCTAGGCTACGCGGAGGGTACCAAGGCGTACCGGCTCTATGACCTAGGCGGAGACAAGGTGTTTGTCTCGCGCGACGTCGTGTTCGATGAGAAGGCGGCTTGGGATTGGACCAGTCCGAGCACGGGGAAGCTGGCGGCTTCACCCGCACCTTCGTCGTCGAGCACTTGGTCATCCACAGTGGTGGAGACGCTGGGGAAAAGGTGCCGAGCACTCCAGCGGCAGAGCCGAGCACTCCTGTGCATGTGCCTAGCACTTCAGGAGGGATGCCGAGAAATTTAGGAGGAATGCCGAGCACTCCTGGAGGGATGCCGAGCATGCCAGGAGTGGTGCTGGGAGGTTCTGCAGTGGCGGCGACCACTCTAGGACGGGTGCTGAGTAATCCTATGGCGGAGCCAAGAGGTCTTGCTATGGTGCCAACAACTCCAAGACTGAGGCTGAGCACTCCTACAGTGGTGCCAAGCACTATAGGAGTAATGACGAGCTGTCCAGAAGTAGTGCCGAGCACTGCAACCAGGGTGCCAAGCACTCAAGGTGCTCTGCCGAGCACTCCGGTAGAACAGGGAACTCCATCGATGTCGATCAAGTTCGCCTCACCTCTAAGTGACATCACTGAGTTCGTGGATGCCTTCCACGAAGGTGAGGAGGTACGGTTCCACAGGATAGACAACATCGTCAGCGGCATAGGACCCTTAGGACTGGTTGGTTGGCTGCTCAATGACGTAGAGCTGCTGCTCGTCAGTGCAGAGGAACCACCCATGTTCGCACTGGCCGAGCACGATGGAAACTGGCGACGAGCGATACTGGAGGAGATGAAGGCGATCGATGAAAACGAGACATGGCAGCTCGTCGATCCACCTCCAAGATGTCGTCCGATCAGCCTGAAGTGGGTGTACAAGGTCAAGCGGGATGAGCTCGGCGCCATTGTCAAGCACAAGGCGCGCCTCGTCGCCCGAGGCTTTGTTCAGCACGAGGGCATAGACTTTGAGGAGGTCTTTGCGCCAGTAGCGTGCATGGAGTCGGTCCGTTTGCTACTAGCCTTGGCAGCACAAAGGACTGGCGCGTCCATCACTTGGACGTTAAATCGGCCTTCCTCAACGATGAGCTGGCGGAGATGGTCTTCGTCAGGCAAACTCTAGGTTTCACCATCAAGGGAGAGGAGCACAGGGTGCTCCGACTGCGTAAGGCGCTCTACGGGCTGCGGCAAGCCCCATGAGAATGGAACGCCAAACTTGACGCCACGCTGGGCGAGCTTGGGTTTCAACGGTACGCAACCGAGCACGCGCTCTACACACGGCGATGGGGGAAGGAGGAGCTCGGTGGCGGCGTGTATGTGGATGATTTAATCGTCACCGGCTTCAAGCGCGAGATGGCGGCTCGTTTTCGAATGCGCGATCTCGGCGCACTCTCCTACTACCTCGGCATCGAGGTGAGATAGGGGAAGGAGGAACTCACGCTCGGTCAGAGCGTGTATGCCTCCAAGCTGTTGGAGCAGAGCGGCATGGCTGAGTGCAAGCCATGCGTGACTCCAATGGAGGAGCGGCTGAAGCTAACGAAGGCCAGCACCGCGGCGAAGGTGGATGCAACACTCTACCGAAGCATCGTCGGCGGTCTGCGCTACCTAGTTCACATGAGGCCGGACATTGCGGTCACCGTGGGCTACATCAGTCGCTTCATGGAGGATTCTAGAGAGGATCACTAGGCTGCGGTGAAGCGGCTACTGCGCTACGTCAAGGGGACAGTGGATCAAGGGATCACCTTTCCCAAAACCGGCGGGAGTAAGCTGCAGCTCACTGTGTTCAGCGATGCAGACATGGCGGGGGACATCGACGGACGACGGAGCACCTCTGGCGTGCTCGTCTTCCTTGGGCCGACCCCAATTTCATGGTTGTCGTTGAAACAGAAGGTGGTGATGCTATCTACGTGCGAGGCAGAGTACGTAGCGATGACCTTAACGGCGTGCCAAGTTGTGTGGCTGCATCGGCTGCTGAGCGAGCTGACCGGCATGGAAGCTCACCCACCAGCATTGATGGTGGACAACCAGCCCGCCATCGTCCTCGTGAAGAATCCGGTTCTGCACGACCGGAGTAAACATATTGACGTGAAGTTCCACTTCCTCAGAGACTGTGTCGATGGAGGGCAGATCGTCATCGAGTTCGTCGAAACTGGTCGGCAACTCGCGGACGTCCTCACCAAGCCGCTCGGACGTCTTCGACTCACGGAGCTGAAGGAGATGATCGGCATGGAGGGGGTACAAGGGATAGCAGTAGGATTAGGGGAAGAATTGTTAGAATAATCTACTGCTTCCTTGTGTGAACACACAGCAAGGGGAAGGCGGTGCCGAAAAGGCTTCCTACTGTGATACTGTAGCCGATGCAGGTGCAGGCGCCGAACGGCTCACCTGCAGCACTGTAGCCACATGCAGAGACCGGCGCCGAGTCAGCCATGCTGTGTTATGTAGTTACTGTTGCAGCATGCGCGTTGTAATAGGACTAGATGGATAGAGTTGTATAAATAGACATATAAGGTAACTCAGTAAAGAGAGTTCAGATTTGCCATCTCCTATACAGGGCTTCGGCCAATGCTGGTGTCTTGTACTGTGTGTGTATGCTCTGTTCTCCCTCTTCTTCAACCTCTAGCCATAGTGTGTGGGGACGGACAACACTTGTTCGTGGTCGGCTTAGCTAGTGGGTGCTCGGCAAGACTGGTGAGTGGTTCACTCAGCTGAGCCGGTGATCCTGTGGGCTAGCACCGAAGCTGTCTGACTTCGGCTTGGCGAAGCTAGGTCCAACTGGTGACAATACCCATGTTTCAACAAGAGTTATGGGTACACCTGGTTATTGTGCGCCAGAGTACTTGATGACCGGTAAATTGACAGTAAAGATAGATATTTACAGCTTTGGTGTAGTTATGTTGGAGGTTCTCACCGGAAGAATGGCTAGAGACGAAAGACTCCCTGAATCAGAGCGAAACCTTGTCGCATGGGTAAGCTTTCTGTTTTTGTTTTTTTTAATAAAATTCTTTACTTGCTTCTCCTCAATGCTAGTATAATTGCCAATATGCTCATGAGAAAAGTATGTCGTCCTATTTAATATCTCAGTCTCTTCATTTAAAAGGCTCATAAGCTGTGAGCTCATGCTCTTCCTCCTTCGATGCCCAAAATTGGTCTTTATCCATTTTGTTTCTTAACCATTTGATCATATCAAACTTGTTCTTTTCATTAAAAAAATGTATCAAACCTGTTATGTGCTTCTTCTATCACCTTCATGTCATCGTTGTAGAGGCAAGAAACTTAAGTCTAGCTGAGTTGGTCGTGGGCATAGTTGTATGCCTTAACCAAGTTTTAGTCCTCGTAGGAGAATTTGGATGTGTATTTCTTCTAGATTAAAATAAAAAATAAAAACCAGGATGAGGATCAGGAGAGGGTCTTCTCTTCCACGCCTGAATAAACTTGGGTCAAAGTTTTCTTTTCGCACCTTTTATTTTGCTTTTCTTTTCTTTCCCTTTCTTCTTCCTAAATATCGTGCATGAAAGCTGGAAGGGAATAAAACGAAGATTCGGGTGAAAATCTTCTCCCCCTCACTTCAGTTTTAGTTTCTGTCAGTTTATGTTGGATTTACACTTGACTTGCACAAGACGGTGATTATTTTGGTGTGATTTCTAGATAGAATTGGTATGACTACAAATTCAGACATCGGTAAGGAATATTTCACCTGATTAAATTCTTACCACCCCTTTAATCTAGGATTCTAGGTGCTGAACTATTCTAAAACATCCGAATATTTTTATAACATGCCAAAAAAAATTCTGGTATAAGAGGGAAGTTTTTTCGTCCAGGTACGATATAGCAAAACTACTACTTAAAACAAAGGTTCAGGTTTTACATGCCATTCAACAGATGTATGCATTATCCTTTTGCGATTACATGCCATGACCTTTCTTTTACTGTATGGTTTCAGGCTCTCAACTTTCTCCGCAGACGGGAACTGGACATTCTGGTAGATCCGGCACTACAGGGTCAGTGCTCCCAGCCTTGTTTGGAGCATGCCTTTTTTGTTGTTTCACGCTGTATCAGTGAATCACCCAATATGAGACCAAGCATGCGAGATGTTGTCGCCTCTCTCACTGTGATGTCAGAAGTCAGAAACAGAAGGCGGTTGGACCGTGGCGGACGCAGCACACCAACAAGAACTATAGCTCTGATCGGAACCCTGGACGCAGCACACCAACAAGAACTAGCTCTGTTCAGAACCCTGGACGCAGCACACCAACAAGAACTAGCTCTGATCGGGACCACCAGGGCGACGATCAGGGAGAAGGAAACTGAAGAATCCAGTGCATAGCAAAACAATGGTGTTCTTCTGTTGCTGCATTTTGTGGTGATGGTCAGTTACTGCCTGTCTGGGAGCAAGAAAGTTGCAATGCCTGTTCAAATGATACGGTTGAATTGCGGGGAAGTACATGGTCATGATGAAGATTTTTTTCCCCTTATAGTTGTAGACAACCGTTGTAAACTGTTGTGTTTGTTGTGGCTTAGTCTTATCAGACGCTCTGTTTGCATGTTGTATTGATGACGATGGCTTGTTTCCCTTACTTTTGCTGTTGATGCTGCTCCTAAAAGGGTTTGATTTACATTGTGTCCAAGGAAGTTATCCCTGATCTCAGGTGTCGAGTGTTTAATTAACTTAGTCACAAAGTTCTAGGATGATTGGGTCGTGGAACAGGGATCGAGGAATGCTCTTTGAGACAGTTTTTTTTCACTGCACAGACTGGGATTGTTCCCGCATTCCTGAAACAGGTGGAGGAACGTGGCACTGTACCTAGTTCCCATTGACACTGCCTCTGCCATGTCCAGTGTGATTGTCCAACTCTCCAACTGATCTTTCACTTCAGTCTATGTTGGGCAGTTCATCTACTTCACCAAAGTGGCATGACACTAGTCGTATTGTGTTGACAGAAACAAGGTGTTTACGGGCATGCCGCATGACGCTGCACAAGTTGAGAGGGAACACGGCATGCTTTTACCAAAATCATTTTTCAATAATCTTGTGAGGGACTGAAGATAATTAGCTTTCCAAAATGCCTCGCTATAGTGGAGTTTCCGCTGTTGGATTCACAATCAGACCATTTTGACAATAATTTTCGTACATCAAACATGTCAACTGTCAAGTGTCAAGAATGTCAGAGCCACACGTATTAAAAGAACAAAAATACAGAGAGATCATCTCTTCTGTGGTTTTGACATTTCTGAAGAGAGATAAAGCATGCTCTTCTCCAGAACAACTCCATGATACTGTAACTAATCTAACACAAGTTTGTCTTCTTTTCATGTGTATAGGAAGTTGTGTTCTTCTCTTTCTCCTACTTGGAACACTAACTATTGACAATCTTAAAGAAATTAATAAAAGAAAATTTACACCGATGACTTGCAGCAGCCTTTCTGACCTACCAACAAAACTTTATCTGACAACTGAACTCAATATGATACAAGAAACACTTCCTGCAAAACTTCATGGAAAATACCAGCTGAATCTTCACGAGAAAACATCGCTGCTGATTTCAACACGTTCTTATGGTGATCAGGCAATCCAAGCATTAATGAACAATCCAGATCTTGTTGGGAGCTATGACTTCATCCTGGTCTCTAGATGAGTTTAGCCTCCAGATGTTTCAGTGGAATTCTGCCTTCCCTGCTAAAAGCAATTCAAATATAGTGAACCCACTGCACCTCAACTTTGTAAAATCTTTCTAGATCAATGAGACCATTCATTTTTTTATATGCTGTCCATGCAAACGTGGTATAAAGATGATCAGCGTTCCTTCGAGTTACCTTTTTCAAATATTCTATAAAAAGAGACTCTTGGTTGAGCAGGGACACATCACTCATTATGTCCAAGCACATCAAATATTTTAGGAATAACAAAACAACATAGAAGTAAAAAATAAAGCTAGTAAGAAACAAGGGCTCTGATAATGACATGTAGGGCCTGGTACCAAAAGTCATGAACTCAGAGAGTTATTTTTGGTAAAATTTTGATTTTATTGGCATACCTTGCTCTTGTCAAGCCATCCAAGTCCCCTAGAAAGCAGGCCAATTCTCCTGTTAGGTGCATCTTGGTTTGGTTCTTGATTTATCTTCCCAAGAACATGGTCCGCACGAGGTGAACTACAGAAGATTCCAAGTAAATGAAGTATTGTAGTATGAAGTTAGAGTTTAAGCTTCTTAAATTAACAGTAAAAATATCAATCAAATGTTAGAGGGACACATGAAAAAAAAATTGGAGAGGAAAAGAAACCAACTCAAGCAATAGTTAGCGGGACACATGAAAAGTAGTCATGCCAAGTGTGAAGTTATAGACTTCCAATAATAGCTCGTAAGTGATCTAGATGCTTGGAAAGTGGAAGTTAAATGTAGCCAAAACAAACATACCTTGAAGTGAAAGATTGGTTGGCTTTAACCTGCCCAGCCTGGTATTGCTTTGTAGCTTCCAGCATTGTTTCTGCCATTACAGCTCTTTTCTCCATTTGTGAAAGTGCTGCCATTGCTGCTTCATACTTCTCCTGCATATAGAAGGTACGAAAAAATAGGCATCTGCCTTCTTAGGCACAAGAAACTGTGCATGTCACCAAGAAAGTAGCACTTTCAAAAAAACTGCTTGCAGAAGTTTTTCCAAGAATTAACCTGGAGCAAGTGAGCAGCATGTTTTTGTTCAGCAGCATCTCGCTCAGCGGCTATGCGGGCATCTTCTGCCACTTTCTGTTCTTGCTCCATTCTTAACAAGATCTGTAGAGGTAAGTTAATGTGTGGATATTTTTAGACAATCAGATGTATAATGGACTTTGGAGGACCAGGTAATATGATCCTTAAGACCCAAAGATTATAGCCACAGAATGTATGCAGTAAGACAACACCTGAAGCATTACTTGCTCTTGCTCTTGCTTGTCTGAAAAAGCTTTTCGCAGTTCATATACCTCTGCTTCCAGCTTCTCAACCTGTGAATCTTTTCCAGGTCAATGGTGCATGAAGAAAATAAACAGGCAAAGGGGTAATTCATTGACTAAAGTAGTATATAGATATTCTTGAAGTACTAGTTAGTTAAGAAAGAACTCAGAATCATATATAATAGTACTGGCCTATTGGGAGATTCAACTTTCTTGAAACCATACGCTGAGAGGTACCAGAAAAAAGTGATTCCAGTTAGCATAATACCTTAGCACTCAACATACGTCTGTTGTCATGCTCGACCATCTCCATCAAAGCAGTTTCCAATTCCTCACCCCTTGAAAATATAAAGAAATATTAGCACAAATTAAGTCGCAATTCAACTTGCGAATAGTTTTAACTAGATGATGAGGACAATCACTGTCCAGATTCATGGAACAGCCTCCATTTCAATAGTAGTAATAGACTTAGCTGTTGCCAGTTGCACTGTAGTAGCATGCACTGTGACTCTGTGACAGCAGCAGCCCTTTAGGTTATAAAAAGAGGGGGTGCCTCCATACGTGAAGTGTTGGGGGACCGTATCCCCCGTGTGGGGTCCCCCTCTGTTCGCATGTTTTTAACCTTTTTTTCTCGAAAACGCAGAAGAACTGCGCTTCATTATATTAAGAAGAAAAAAGGGGGGAAAGAGACCCCTTACACACCACTCCGACTTGTCAAAATTACATACGCGCCTGTGGAAACATAGGGGCGACCAAAGCTAGACTATCTCTAGGCTACAAAACTACTTTGGGGGGAGGGGGGGGGCCCAAGAATGATAGCCCCAGGACCAAAGGTATTTGTTCTTGCAGAAACCCCGAAGGTTGCTCCCAAACTTCATCCGAGGAGGTTTCTGAAATGATGCCTTGGCGGAAGCGCAAAGTCATCTTCAGAGGAGCCCTGAAGGAGGCATCCTGGGTGCGCCGTCAGCAGGTCCCAAAAGGAGAACACGAAACCCTTGGGCAGTTCGAAATGGCAACACAATGGGAAAGAGGAGTGGACGCCCGAACCCCACTGCACTCGTGAAGGTGCAACATTCCGGAGAAACACACGACATGGAGGAAGGTGCCACTTGTCTAAGTCAAATCCGAATCGGATTTCGGTGTAAGCATGTACTGAAAGGACCAAAAAAGCCCCAAGTATGCAGGGAATATGCTTGGAATCTAACCCTAGGGTAGGGGCATTTTGGTCCGACAAGTGTAATTGTTGATATGTTAAATCTGCTCAACCAAGTACAATTGTTTATGTTACTGTATCTAGAGCTTCTAGCCAGATTGACTTTGTCCTCGCAAGAAGAAAGGACAAACGAGCATGCTTGGGTTGCAAGGTGATGCCAGGGGAGTGTGTTGTTTCTCAACATAAGCTTTTGGTGGCAGACTTTCGTTTTCAGGTGCGTGCCCGTAGGGATAAACAAGCTAAGATTGAAAGAACAAAGTGGTGGAAACTGAAAGGGGAGACGTCAGAGATATTCAGGGAAAGGGTTATCAAAGAGGGCTCTTGGAAGGAAGAAGATGACATAAACAACATGTGGGAGAAGATGGCAACCGGCATTCGAAAGGTGGCCTCAGAGGTGTGTGGAGTAACCAAAGAAAGTGGAGGCGAGGCTAAAGATACCTGGTGGTGGAACGAGAAAGTCCAAAGGGCTATTAAGGAGAAGAAAGAATGCTATAGACACTTGTACCATGATAGGAGTGTGGACAACATAGAGAAGTACAAGGTGGCAAAGAAGACTGCAAAGCGAGCTGTAAGTATGGCAAAGGGTAGAGCGTACGAGGACCTTTACCAACATTTGAGTACGAAGGAAGGAAAGAAGGATATTTATAGGATGGCTAGGGTTCGTGAGAGAAAGACAAGGAACTTCAACTAAGTTAAGTGCATTAAGGATGAAAGGAAGCATCTCTTGGTGAAGGATGATGAGATCCGATATCGATGGCAAGAGTATTTTGACAAATTGTTCAATGGTGAGAATACGGACACAACCTTTCAGTTGGATGACTCTTTTGATGACACCAATAGACGCTTTGTGCGGAGAATCCAATAATTTGAGGTTAGAGAGGCGTTGAAAAGGATGAAAGGATGTAAGGCGATGGGACTGGATGGTATCCCAATCGAGGTGTGGAGATGCCTCAGGGACATAGCTATAGTATGGCTAACCTAGCTGTTCAACCATATTTTTCGATCGAACAATATGCCTGCCAAGTGGAGGAGAAGTATATTGGTACCGATCTACAAGAATAAAGGGGATATTCAAAGTTGTACTAATTACCGGAGAATTAAGTTGATGAGCCATACTATGAAGCTATGGGAGAGAGTTATCGAGCGTCGCTTGAGAGCAATAACACGGGTCTCTATGAACCAATTTGGTTTCATGCCCGGAAGGTCAACCATGGAAGCCATTTTCTTAATAAGACAAGTTATGGAGCAGTATAGGGAGAAGAAGAAGGACCTACATATGGTTTTTATTGACTTGGAGAAGGCTTATGATAAAATACCAAGGAATGTTATGTGGTGGGCTTTAAACAAACATAAAGTCCCAACGAAGTACGTCGGGCTCATTAAGGACATGTGCAACAATGTTGTGACTAGTGTTCAGACAAGTGATGGAGACACAGATGACTTTCCGATTAGGATAGGACTACATCAAGGGTCAGCTTTGAGCCCTTATTTGTTTGCCTTAGTGATGGATGAGGCCACAAGGGACATACAAGGGGACATCCCTTGGTGTATGCTTTTCGCGGACGATGTAGTGCTAGTTGATGAAAACCGGACATGAGTGAATCAGAAACTGGAGTTATGGCGGGAGACTTTGGAGTCCAAAGGTTTTAGACTCAATAGAACTAAAATTGAGTATATGAGATGTGACTTCGGCACTACTACTCGGGAGGAGGAAGGTATTAGTTTGGAATGTCAAGTAGTGCCTAGGAAGGATACATTTCGATATTTAGGATCAATGCTACAGAAAGACGGGGATATTGATGAAGATGTTAGCCATAGAATCAAAGCGGGGTGGATGAAGTGGCGCCAAGCATCTGGTGTCCTATGTGACAAAATGATACCACAGAAGCTAAAAGGCAAGTTTTATAGGACGACGATTAGACCTGCTATGTTGTATGGTGCAGAATGTTGGCCTACGAAAAGACGACATGTTCAACAGATAAATGTCGCGGAAATACGTATGTTGCGTTGGATTTGCGGTCATACGAGAAGGGATCGAGTTCGGAACGATGATATACGTGATAGATTAGGGGTAGCACCAATTGAAGAAAAGCTTGTCCAACACCGGATGAGATGGTTTGGACATGTCCAACAGAGACCTCCAGAGGCACCGATGCGTAGTGGAATTCTAAGCTAGGATAGTAACGTGAAGAGAGGCAGAGGAAGACCGAAGTTGACTTGGGTAGAGGCAATAAAAGGAGACTTGAAAGGATAGAATATACCCAAAGACTTAGCCTTAGATAGGAGTGCTTGGAAAACAGCTATTCACGTGCCTGAACCTTGATTGCTTCTGCTGGGTTTTAACTCTAGCCTATCCCAACTTGTTTGGGACTTAAAGGCTTTGTTGTTGTACTGTATCTAGAGCTGAAATGCTGAATACTTATATTGAGCATAAGTTGCTAGACCCAAGTAGGCCCTGGTATTGACTCCAGCTGCATGTTCATTCCAATGTCTGTGCTCTGTTCTCTATGGCCACTCTAACCTTGGTCAGTAATGGACTAATGGGACAGACACTATTATAGTATGATCATAGGTTACATGGCTGTACATTGCTGAGTTGGCTTCCCACTTAACTGCCCTAGTTCCCAAGCGAGCGATCAATCAAAGAAATGTTGCTCAGGGACTAGAAAATAGGCGTTGGGTGACAGACATCAAAGGTGCTCTAACGGTCAGGGTCATGGAAGTTGGAGCGGAAGAAATAGTTCTGCACCCCGATGTGCAGGACCAGCATACATGGAAGTTGACCAGCTCAGGTACATAGACCTGGAAATCCGCCAACAAACCATTTTTTTTTTGTGGGCACTATTCGTTTTGCCCTTTGGAAAAGGATTTGGAAATCTTGGGTTCCATTGCGCTGCAAATTTTTCTTGTGGCTGGCTCTTCTGAACCATTGTTGTACGGCTGATAGACTTCCTAAGTGAGGTCTCCCGCACCGCACCTCGCTCCCCTCTTTGTGATTAGGAGGAAAAAAATACGCAGCACCTTCCCATTTCCTCTGGTGGTGTCACCCTCCAGTGTGCGGGTTTCCTTTCTTGGCTCCAATTCCTGACGTTGGCAGATTCTCAGGATGATGGAGTGGATCCCTCAAACAGGTTGACAAACAATCCAGGAAAGATTTGAACACTTAGATCATTCTTGCCACTGGGAAATTTGGAAACATTGCAAGATTGCATCTTGAACTCAGTGCCCCTAATGCAAACCTAGTTGTGAGGGTTGTCGGGGAGAGACATCAGGGAAAACACAACAATGTGGTGTGCGGCTGGTGCAAAGCATCTCTTTGAGCCAGTCCTGACTTTTTGTATAGTTTTTGTGGTGTTTTCTCTAGGTTGGGTCGTTGTACTTTGTTTTACTGGCACGCTAATTATGTCCAGTGGGGTGATGTGGTGTGGGGTTTGTAATTGGTTCCTTTTCTTCTTTAATGAAACTCCTGTGTATTCAAGAAAAAATATAACCCAAACCTGAGATCAGCTGATCTTTTCTCCTCGAGCAGCTTGCATAGTTCAATCTTTAGCCATGACACCTGTATGAACATTGCAGCATTGCACACGTAAAATTCACCACATATGCATAAGAAAGTAGTCTTCAAATACTTGGGTTGTAAAGATATGTCAAGATATAACTCTAAGCTAGAAATATGAACATTATGAACAGAACCATTCAGTTTTACAAAATAAATGATTGTGATATTGACATGGAACCATTAGGAATCAGCAGATTTTTAACCAGGAGTTTAAATAATACATTTGAACACAGAAAAAATATGATACTTTTCATATTGTTCACAGAAATGAAATAGCATATCCAAAAGATAAATACTATCACAGGAGTTGTTACCTGATCTTGAAGATCAACACCCTGATCCAAATCATTATCCAGTATAGAACTAGTACTAAGATAGGTCTCAAGATTTGCTGGCCCAGTCTCTCCATTCACCTTTGAACCATCTAGCCCTTCCTTGGACTTAACTGGTGAGCACATGAATGAAGGATCATGTTTAAAGCTATAAAGTTTGGTTGCTAACCCCTTCTTATCTTTCCAGGAGCCACGGTCTTTCGATCTTTCCTCCATTGCAGTTAAAATTTCAGGCCTGTGCTTTTTCCTGAACTCTTTCAATCCCATTTCTCTAACTGATTGGAAGCCCATACAAGCTGTCAATACAAGCTGGCTGCTGTCAAAAGTAGATCCAGCAAGAGACTGCAGTAGTGTAATTGCATCTCCGGCATCTTTTGTGGTCACCAGTGCAGGCCCTGCAAATTAATGTACGAAGACAACACAGCAATGTTGGTTGCACATCAAAATTGGTAAAAAAAAAGAACAAATAAAAGAAAATTTAACATTTTCCGGATGTTAATAAACAGGCTAAGAAGGGATAACTAATACCATATAAATCCAGCAAAGCAAGCGTCGTCCTGAACAACATTGTACGATTTCCTTCAAAAAGGATGACATCCCAAACGCGAAGTACTACAAGAGAGGTAAAGTCTTACTTAGATATCAATAGCACACATATGGTAAAAGAATATGTAACCTACAAAGACATAAGAAGATTTTCCATATGCTGATAGTGAGATTTAAATGTTAGTCAACCACCAGAAGGGGGTTTGTCGGGTATCGATATTAGGGATACCCGGAGGAAGGAAGTTAACGGCCACGAACGTTAATTCGCCCAGATGGTCCAAGACGTATTTAAGGTCTCGAACGACCCCTCGGGCACGGGCCCCGTCTCGCCAGACCCCTCGGGCGCGGGCCCCGTCTCGCCCGACCCCGAGGGCACGGGCCCCGTCTCGCCAGACCCCTCGGGCACGGGTTCCGTCTCGCCCGACGGGGATCCATACCGCCTCCAACCACTACGGGTCGAAGAGTACGACCCCAGGGTCAAACTTCTGACACCGGGAGGGAAGCGGGCACATCTCGACGTGACCCGTGGCCACGACGGACCATACCTGGGGGCTCACGTCGCCAACAGAAGTCGCGTCGCGCGTGCGTGCCATCTTCGCTTAATCCTCAGACGGCTTCGACAGTGTACTTGTTGACCACGCCGCTTTTCTTTGGAACGGAGTGGAGCGCCGTGACCGGCTGACGACGCCTGCGTATAGCGCCAGTGACGAACAGGGCGCGACGTGGAGCCGTCCCCGTCATCATCTACAGGATCGGCGGGACCCACATAAAGGAGATGAAGGACGCCGCGACCCTGGAGGCCTTCTTCTCCCTCGCTTTTCTCCTTTTCTCTCTCTTTCTCTCTCTGTAACCTGCGCCTTCCCCTTCACCTATAAAAGGGGAAGCAGGACGCCCCAAGAGAGGCACGAACACATGGCGGAACAAGCTCAACAAGACTCAACTCCGTTCGATCTTTTCACCAGAGACTTGGGACCTTTTCCCTTTCTCGCCCGTTTGTAACCCCTACTACAAACTAGTGTCGGTATCACGAGCAGCAGCAGACTGGACGTAGGGACATTCCGCCCGAACCAGTATAAATCCTTGTGTCCTCCGAGCACACCATCCGGGCCAGACGCGCAGATACAAAGTTACTAGCCGGTGGTTCGAAACACCGACAGGGTTAACCAATCTTACAGCAGTGAACTACCAGCAAAAATATTGTAATAGCACATATCATAATGAAAGAACCAAGACACTGTATAAAACCTGACCACTTTCCCATGGAAGCATATTGATGAAAATTGAAAGAAACCATGGTCCAGTCACCCATCCCACTTGAACTCCCAAGAAATCCATATGTTTGGCTGAAGAAAATTGCAATTGATGTAAGTGCCAAGTAATAACCATAACAAGAACCTTCAATGGAAGAAACATTAAGTGTAGATACTTTGACATACAGTGCCTTCAAAATATTAAGCAATAGTGACACAAACATATGTGTGATTTTTTAACAAAGAATTAAACATGACAAAGACGAATATAGTGATATAATTGGAAAACATACCCAATTTAGGGAACCTTTCTCGTACAACCTCCTCAAGGACGAGTTGGTCAACCTGTGTATTGAGCAGCAACATAGTTCAAATGTTCCATGGAAAAGAGTGCATGCATCAAGATCCACAAATTCAAAAGTACCTGAGATTCAATCATTTCTTCAGTGTAGTATCCATCAAAATAATCATCAATAACCCCAACTAAAGCCCTGAAATTCAAAAGCAAGTGAAAATGGAGAAGCCATACAATCTTGCACTAAAAAAAGGCCATTGAGTCTTTTTTTTTTCTTTCCATATACAAGGTGCATTTAATGAAGACATACCAAAATGCATTTTCTTCAGGCATGAAAAGCAAAAATAGCCCAGCAAAGAAGTTCATGGCCTGCAAGAGAAAACAAGTGAAGATAAATATACCTATAAACTTTGGTGATAGTGGTTATTTCAGAAATCGGTTTAAACTCTTCAAGTGTGAGGCATGTTGAAGGCAAGATAAATATAGCTATAAACTTCATAGTACATGTGGTGGTTTTTCTGACCTGGTAAAGATGGCTACAATGAAATTCTTTATGTTGAGATATACTTCACTGATTTTACATTATGTCAAATCCCTTCTGAAGTTACCATAGGTATATGGTGTAAGAAACATTTTGCTCAACAGAAGTCCAGAACTAATGATTGAAAATGTATCGCTTATCATAGGCTCATAGCTTATAATGGATCTCTCAACATTTAAGGCCATACATTACAATTTTGCTCAAATGCTCAACTGAACATGAGAACCATGACCTTTCATAGTTTGCATGCACCAATTAGGATTACAATCTATCTCGTTCTATACAATTAAGCTAACAAGAGGCTAGATAAAAAAAAAACAAAATTCCTTCAATTGGCATCAATTTACCTGGCAGTACCCAACTGATGGATTATGCCTTGCATATGCGGTTAATAACCGCCTCAAAGCATTCCTCCCATCCTCATCTAATGCAGGGTGTCCTGGAAATGTTCGTGGTAAATCCTGTAACGAAAACAGAAATCAAGTGTATAGAAACACTAGAGCTTGTCAACCATGGTATGCTTCCTCTAAATTCAAACTGTTGCAGAAAACAACCTTCTCTATCTGTCCTTTCCACTTCTCAGGCTGTGTAACTTTTCTCGGTGCACTTCTCTGTTCGTTGACCACTGGGTCCACGAGGTCCTTTTCATCCAATGTCGCAGTCCTGTCATCAAGCAATTTGTTGTAGTACCCAGTAATCCTCCGAGCACCGACACCCACAAATGCTTGCCATATCTGCAGGGAAGTCAACAATATGTGAGCATAAAGGCATCAAATCTCACACACTAAGCAGACAGCAGCGATTTGCAGAAGTGGTTGCAGTTGCACCTCTCCTCTAAGAGCCATTGGCACGCCTCCACGAACCAAGCTCTCAAGCTCCTCCCTCCAAGGAAAATAAGACCCATCATTGCCTCCCTCCAAAGCAGTACCTGTAGAATCATCAGGTGTTTCCTGTCCAAGTTCAACCTTCTCTGCAACACAAGACTCATCAACCTCAGCTGGATCTCCGTCATGACTCACTTCTGCAGTCCTTCCTTCCTCTTCAATAGAAGCAAGCTGTGCTCCATCCTTTCCATGAGTATCATTTGCACCATTACCACCCTTCACTACCCGAGAGCTCATCATTTTGTCAATGATGCTAAGCGCTGCCCGTACCCGCCACCGGGACTCAACTTTTATGGGCTTCAGTTCATCCAACAACCCCTTATCCAAGAAGAGCTCTACCAGCTTGTCCAAGTTGCCATTACTATCTTCTTCCAATTCTTCTGAGCTTCCATTCAAATCTTTTAATTCTTCAACGTCCCCATTTGCTTCCATCAAGCCCTCTAAGGCTTTGATTGCTTCCGTAGAGCTACTACTAGTCTCCTCTTTCACTTCATCCAAGTTGTCAGTTACATCTTTCAGATCTTCTGACTTACCATTTGCTTCTCGTGATTCGCCACTGGTATCAGCTTCCTTCGGGTTTTCCAATTTATTGTTATCTTCTGCATTCTCAGCTCCCTCCTCTTGTTCATCATCATCACAATGTATTCCGATGTTGTTATTCTCTTGTGCCTGTCCTGCTCCTGCGGCACCATCCCTGGCAGCTGCATATGGTGAAACGCTGGGTGTGCCGGGCACATTGGCTGACTCAGCCAACCTGTCCAAGAAGTCCCTCCATCTGTGCGCCCTCTCCTCCTCCTCTTCCTAACAAACAACCCTCCAAAAGCAAATCAAAACTTTCCAATAAACAGACAATGAACATAACATTTCCAGTACGGCAAAGTAAATTACTACCTTGTAAATCTTGGCGTACTCGCGGAAACGCTGCACATGCTGTGGCCGCACCGCGAATCCATAAGCGTCCCTGCGCCAAACCTCAGGACCATCAACTACAGCTCCCGGAGGGAACCCCAACAACGGCATTAGCACCCCCAGGCAATACGAAAACAAGGAGCGGAACAAGAGACGATAGGAGAGAAGAGGAGGCAGGCGAAATGGGCAAAGGAGACCCGCCTTTTTGTGGGATTTACCGTGGGGACTCGGCGTCCATGGGAATCAGCGCGCATTAAAGAAGAAGCAACAGGGCGACCTCGGCACCGCACGCCATGGATTGACCAAAGCCATAAACCCTAGCCCGCGCGGGCCCCGAGATCCACGCACATGGGAGGAGGAATTCTGGAGAGGAAGGGAATCAGGATTGCAACGGATCGCGGCAAGACCGGGTGGAGCCACGCGCGCTGGCGTTAACTGCACCGCACCCCCTGCTGCTGCCGCGGCGCCCGAGGGATGCCCGCCCAGGCGCGAGGCGACGAAGACGAATTGAATTGGAGAAGAAGAGGAAGAAGCGGCAGCGCAGATTGGGGACGGCGAGGAGGAGACAGAAAGAAGAAAGAAAAAAAACAGTCATTTTGCGTCGACGCTAGAGCGCGGAGCACGTGGCGCGCGGCACGACGATGTCGCGCACGCCCGGGGCGCGCTTCTGCCCTGCCTCCTGCATGGATTTCAGTTGGAGAAGACACAAGAGTACGGTATGGTACTTGACGAACCTCTTGTACTCGAAGTCGAAGGCCGTGGCGCCCATGGCCGCCGCCGCCGCCGCCGCAGCGCGGCTCCCGGCACGCGCCGTGGTGGCCGGTCGGGGCGCAGCGACTCGTCGAACACCTCTGACTGAGCGCGCTCGTGCCGACCGGCGCAGCCCGGAGGAGAAGGGGCAAGGAGAAGGACAGAGAGCTACGAATGGGATTGGAAACTAATCGCCTGGGTTTGACCTGGGTTTGGTGCGAGAATAGTCAAAATGGACAAATTGTGCTTACTATAGAAGAAGTATACACAAATTGTGCATTAGAGATCGGGCAATTCGGTTAATAATGCATCAGGCAGGCAGGCACGCTGGTACCTTTAATCATGGCAGGGTGCCGATCGTGCGTGCTGTTACTATTCCTGTATGGCTGTGTCAGGTCCCAACTCCCAAGCTTTGGCCCTACCTCGTCCGGTCGTCTGGTGGTTTGGTGAAGAAGAGGAGTGGATTTTTTTATTTTGAGGGCGTGTTTAGTTCCAGGAACTTGGAATTTGGGGCTACCGTAACACGTTCGTTTTTATTTGGCAATTAGTGTTCAAACATGGACTAATTAGGCTCAAAACGTTCGTCTCGTAATTTCCCACCAAACTGTGTAATTAGTTTTTTTTTCGTCTACATTTAATGCTCCATGTATAGACCGCAAACATTCGATGTGACAGGTACTGTATCAACTTTTTGGAATTTGGGGTCCAACTAAACACGCGCTGAACTTAGGAATGAATATTTCTGTAGCTATTCTGTTCGCTTTGCTGAAAAGCCAAATTGAAAAATATTGTTCGCTGATTTATCGCGAGAGAAAAATACTGTTACTTCACTGAATAAGTAGGGCTGATAAGCAAGCGAACAAGGGAGTGTGCAGGATCCGAGGACAGCAACATTGGAACATGGATCATGTGTCTGCGTACAGTGTTTGTAGTATATACCCAACGGTGGTTGTCTACGGCTATAGCCTATGGCTAGCTCTGTTGTGTTGAACTGTTGAAGCGCAGCCAAATACGCGCCACGATCAGCAGCACAACAGTACTACCACACTACCACCAATATGTTGGCTAACTTGGATGTCTTCAGCCCTTGTCACGCTCACTTGCATTATTGCCTGGTTGGCCAATTTCAGATACACACACCCTGTACCGACGATGTGAATTGTGGTGCACGCTTCAGAGGAGAGGCTGGACCGAAGAGGACATGGCTCCTGCAGTTCCAGAAGATCTGGTGGGCAGGGTGGGCCCCAGGGGGGTTGGTTTCGTTGGAGTAGCGTAGCACTTGCCACATGGCGGCATGGCGCACGGAGGTCGTGCAGGCCCGCAAGGTGGTCGTGGGCGGATTTTGTTTGGTGGGCGCATGGCGCTGCTGGGGCCCTGGGAGCTCCCGCTGTCGCTGTAGTCGTAGCAGCCTGGCGCGGCGGGCCGGCCGCCAGCGTGAGGCATTCCACGCGCGCGCCAGCAGATTCTCTCTCCCCGTCTCGGGCCTTGAGCCAGTTTGAGCGCCGCGGCGGGGCGAAACCTTGCGCCCGGGAGGCCGGCCCGCGATCCTGCGGAGTCGCGAGAGGTGGGCCTTGCTCCGCCTTCCTTCCTTGTACGATTATGTTGTGGGCTGCCACGGTCGGTCCATTGCGCGAGGTCGCGAGACGGTCGGTCCATGGAAGTTGGAAAGAGTATTGTACGAATGTTTTTCATGAGGCCCACAGTACCCGTTGCCGGACTAGAAACGAACCAAGCTAAAAGACAAATTACGTGACATCAGCCAGTCCACGCTTCCAAAAATATCTTTGCCATACCTAAATTATGGGTTGTTGCCACGACTTTGTTTGGTTCTAGCTCGTATTATTATTACTAGCAGATTTGTTCGTGCGTTACAACAGGATAAAAAAGAATATGCATGTCCAGCTTTAATAAATAATTAAATATTTTTAACAAATACTTCATTCATCTCAAATTGTAAGACGTTTAACTTTTTTGGCCTCAGGTCTGACCACTCGTCTTATTCAAAAAATTTATGTAAATATAGTCAAATTTAAGTCATTCTTGAAGAATTTTTATTAATAAACCAAACCACGACGAAAGAAGTGATATTTTACACAAATTTTTGAATAAGATGAGTGGTCAAACTTGGTGTCAAAAAAATCAAACGTCTTACAATTTGGGATGGATTGAGTACTAAACAATTTAACATGGCCTAGACCTAATTGGATCACCTCCTTTGAGGCTTCATTGTTAAGAGAAAATTGTAAATATGCTCCAATTATTTTTTTGTTTTTTATTTGTTACACTTGTTCGCAGTCAAAATTGTTTCGGTATATAGTTTTATGAGCAATGGACAGTACAACGCCGAAGATAATAACGGGTTATCATATATGTAGATTGAATCCTGGTGACAAGGCGTTGATGATTTTCTGCGCATGTACAAGAAACAAACATGCAAGCAAGAGCCGATATGCAAGTGACGTACATCTAGACGAGAAACATGTAGGCCTCGTACTCTAGAATCTACACGACTACACATAAGTAAAGAGAAGGGCAAGAATTGCAAGGAAATGGCCCTGTTCGCTTGTACTATATCAGTGAAATTACAATGTTTTTCTCTCACGGCAAATCAGCATCAGTATCTAGTATCAGCCGTTTTTCAAGCAAGCCGAACAGGGTCAAAAATCGACACGCACACCAGATAATGATTATTTTAATAAAAATATACCCAGGTTTAAAAAAAGAAACGGACTTTGGATGGCCAAGTCTAACGATTGCATGTTGGTTTGGTCGTTTGCGTGCACGTGGAAGGTCCTGACTCGGTTTAAGGGTCCGTTTGACAGGGTTTTTTTACCAGTTTTAGGAGCTGTTTTCTGTCAAACGGGGTAAAGTGAAATAGCTTCACTGGTGAAGCCCCTAAAAACATGCTCTCACAATGATTTAGGTGGGATGGAGCCAAAAAAAAGTGGCTTCTCCCAGCTCCTCCTGCAGACCCCTAAAAACATGCTTTCACAGGAAAGCCATTTTGCCAAACGGTTTATCAAACCGGCTTCAGCTCCACCGGTGGAACTGTTCATGGAGCTGAAGCAAAAAAAAAATAGCTTCACTGGTGAAGTGAAGCCCTGCCAAACGGGGCCTAAATAACGTCGCAAAAAAAAAGACTCTGTTTAAATAAGCTTTTACCAAATTAGAGCCGATGTATAGTTTATTTATGGCAGGAAACAGATAGGAGTATAGGACACACCTTCGGTTCCACCGCACACGGAAATAGTTTGAGCACTGTATATACGGCTGCTATAAAACATGACTTCTGCCTTACATTGTTAGGTTTTTCGGTATGTGACCTGGCCAAAAAAAAAAACTTTTAGCCTTTTGTATTTAGGTTAGAATTTCTATTCACATTATCATCGGATGGATCTATTTGGGTTAGGATTCTAACTATCCAAAACATATATTCAAGCGGTCGACACACGAATAGAAACAATTTTCACATTCACATATATATAATATATATAGATATATTTTTTTATTTGATTAAGATTCCTATTCAAATTACTCTGAATTGGAGAGATCTAATTGAATTAGGATTCGTTAAAGGAAGGGCGAAAAAAAATGAGTAGAGAGAAATTTTGCATCTTTAATATTAGGTATAGACTAGACTAGAAAATGTAGGGTGAAGAAAAGAAAATAGCTTTCATAGCTTGTGGTCCATTGTATTTAAAAAACAAAAATAATATCTCCTTGCTACTGTGTATGTATGTATGTATAATTAATACATCAAGAAGCTGAAACTGAAGTCGGCCAAAGCATCACCAAACGAGACTTTTTTGTGTCACGATCGATGTATCTAGCTATCCAAGGCACTGCGATTTTGAGTCTTCCTTGTAAATTTCCATTGTTTCTCGTATTATGTTTGAGATTTTTCAAGCTAGTGAGATATTGTAAATTACCCACTAAAGAAAAATATAACTACTATATCGTTTGTTTTAGTTATTATCATAGCGTACTTTTGTTGTCTTGTCTTATCATCTTGTGCAATAGTACAACATATACGCCACTACTTTAGCTTTAGCAGTACTTTTCAGCGAATGAATATTATTTTTCTCTTACAATAAATCAGCATAAGCTAAATTTCAGCGAAGCTAACCGGACCAGTATTAAGCAAACTGCAAATGAAGGCACAGTCGGCTGCTAGCATAGAAAATGTCAAGATCACCATCACCCAGAAGCCGAGAAAAGCGAGAGGAGCAAAACCTTGCCGTGTAGGTGTACACATGCAGCATGTTCGTTTAGTTGTGGCTTGTCGTAAATGATCGTAAATTTTTAGTTGGAATAGTATTTTTCTCTTACACAAACCAGTCAGCAGTACTTCTTCATGAAACAGTAACGAAACGAACCAGCCAACCGAACAGGCTGCATAGCTCCCATGACTTGTCACGTCTAGAAAAGCTTTCTATTGTACAGTACTCCCTCCGTCCGCTGTCGTTTTCGTTTTCGTTTTCTGAAATACAACTTGACTAAATACATATATAAAATATTAATATTTATGATACAAAATTAATATCATTGATAGATCGTTGAATATATTTTTATAATAAATTTATTTGGAGATAAGGTACATAAATCTACTCTTGAAGCCGTTGGTGCTGACTCGAGTTAGGTCTTGTTTAGATTGGAGTTAGGAATCAGTATTTGACACTGTAGCACTTTCGTTTGTATTTGATAATTATTGTTCAATCAGCTCAAAAGATTCGTCTCATAATTTACAATCAAACTGTATAATTAGTTATTTTTATCTATATTTAATACTCTATGCATGTGTCAAAAATTTGATGTGATAAAGATAGAGTGAAAAAACTTGGAGTCTAAACAAAGCCTTAATAAAATTTTGTCCGGAAGGAATTGGCGAGCCAAATCAGAAATCACGTCACAATCACACACACAGGTAGAGTAAACATCATGCCAACCGAGTCGTGCCGTCCGCGAACACGCGCACCTATGGAGTCGGTGGAGGTTAAAATAAGGGCTGTCGTGTCGTCG